CTGCCTTGAAAGGTGGGCGTTGCTTGAATAACTCAGCCTGGTACTGCAAAATGGATTTATGCTTTTTGGAAAAGGTTGAATGCTGAACTTTTTTTTTTTCTGGCAAGGAAGACTGGCCCTGAGCTACCATCTGTTGCCAATCTTCCTCTTTTTGCTGGAGGAAGATTGTTACTGAGCTAACATCTGTGCCAATCTCCCCCTATTTTGTATGCGGGACGCTCTCACAGCATGGGTTGATGAGTGGTGTGTAGGTCTGTGCCTGGAATCTGAACTTGCGAACCCGGGGCCGCTGAAGTGGAGCATGCGAACTTAACCACTATGCCACTGGGCCAGCCCCTTGAACGGTGCACTTTTATAACATGTTCTGCCTGAGCCAGAGGGAAATGTTTTAAATGATGGTTTGCAGGTTTACTTGAATATCTCTCCCTCTTTTTCCCCACCCCCCACCCCGTCTCCATCTCCATCTCCACCTTCATCTCTATCTCCATCTCTATTTCCACCTCCACCTCCTTGTCTATCTGCTTATCTCCTCTTTTCCTGGTCCAAGTTTGTGGTAAGGTCCTCCTTGGTTCACCACATACCTGATAGAGTACTCAGAATATATTTATTTCCTTATGGAAATTGTGTCATTTAATGTGTCTCTTTTGCCTTTAATATCCCTGTTGTTGAAAGATAATTGAAATTTTGAACATATTTTTTGAAATTGCATGGGACTTACCTGTAGTTCATTCATTCATTCATTGAACACAGGTTTATTGAGGTCAGAGAGGTGGACTGGGGAGCTGGCCCTGTTGAGCGCTCCTTGGACACACACTGCATTGGAGCCGACTTTCCCTGGGCATAGCAGGATACTGTTTCTGGGGGAGCTGCAGTGTCCTGGTGACTTTTGAAGTAGCTCTGTGGGCACAGCACAGCAGGGGCTAGTTGCCATCACAGATCATGATATCCCACTGTGCAAGAATGCCACAGCAGGGAGGCAGGAGAGGCAGGCCCTGCGTCCTTGTCTCTGCCTCCTGCTGAGAGTGAGAGAGAAGTGCTGTGACCACCAGCACGTAAAAGCCCATGTGCTCCATGCACATTTCCTGCATCTCCATTCTAATGTCGCTCCTCCTCAGAAGCCTGCCTTCATCAAGGAATGCAAGTGCTTCAAGTTCTAGAACAGTCAGTGAAGATGGCTCCTCATCTCCACAGGCCAGTCTGTCCAATGACGATGTCAGATCTTTGCTAAGTGACACAGACCAGCGGCAGAATGCGGAAATTCTGGCCTAGGGACAGAGGGGATGGAGGCATGTTATACAGGGTGTAGTCACTTGATAGCGGTGGAGCCACATTAAAGGGGTGGAGCCAGGTCACAGGGGTGGAGCCACATTACAGGGGTGGAGTCCATTACAGGGGTGGAGTCAGGTTATAGGTGTGGAGTCATGTGACAGAGGTGGAGTCAGTTACAGGTGGAGTTGGGTTATAGGAGTGGAGTCAGTTACAGGGGTGGAGTCAGTTACAGCGGCAGTCAGGTGATAGGGTGGAGCCACGTTGCAGGGGTGGAGCCACATTCCAGAGGTGGAGCCAGTTACAGGGGCCGTTAGGTTACAGGGGTGCAGTCAGTTACAGGGGCAGTCAGGTTATAGGGTGGAGCCACACGTTGCAGTCCTGTGATGCTTTCTTGGGGAGGAGGCCAAGCCCAAGTCCCCCAATCTGAGTGTTTTAAACCCTTCTGTCCTTCAGAGGGAAATCCAGGATGCTACAAATGGGTAGAAAATGCATTCTCTCTGTAGCTTGTCAAGTCTGTGAAACCACTACCTATGAAAAATTTAGGAGAACTCAGGAATGATTTGCCATTTATATGACAATAATCTTCAGTTTCAGTGAATTCGAGAAGGTGCCTTCAGACCTCCACTGCCAGCCTTTGCTGGGGAAGCAGGAGGCTGGGAGGGGCAAGGCAGGTTTAGAGCTTCAGCATCCAGCTTCCCGAAGCTCCCCGCCCTAGCAAGAGACCTCCTGACCCAAGACCCCTCTGACTCATGACGTCCCGGCTGCCAGACGCTCTACCAGTCCATTGAGCCTCATGTCCCTGCCATGTCGGCCGCTCCATGTGGTAACAAGCCTTGAGGAGGGACAGAGGACCCAGCCTGTGTGTCCCCTGGTGAGAGGAGAGGACAGGAAGACAGGATCCCCGGCGACCATCTGCCTTGGCCCCCCCTGTGCCCAGCTACGCTGACTGCCCAGCTTTCATGCATGGAGGAAATCCAGCAGGGGGTTGGGGGGAAGCTGCCCAGGAATCATGCCTCTGCCTCCTCCTTCCAGCCCCTGAGCTGGGAGCTGAGAATCCAAGGGCAGCTGCTCAGTCCTGCCTTTGTCTGCATCTCCTCACCAGCAGGACTTTGCCTGCCGTGGTGTGGTTGTCCCAGAGACAGCATGTGGGGTCTGAGCTCTGCCCATGGGTCTCCTTGGTGGGACAGGATTGAAGGGAAAAGGAGTTGAAGGACCATCCTCCCTTCACCAGGCTCCATCACCGGGCTGCAGCCATGTCTCCCAGCATGCCGCCAAGTCAAGCCCCCTGTCCCCGTGGGGTTCTCTCGGGTTTGCTTGCTTTCAGTGGCTGAAATCTGTGTCTCTCCTGCTTCTACCGGGGCCCCCGGGCCAGCAGCTCGTAGTAAGTCACCATTTGGGCAACATTGAAACTGGACTCTGGACACTTTCCCAAGGACTGAGTATCCCTTTGAGGTTTTAGTTCTTATTGAGGAGGCAGACTCTGAAAATTGATGCACTCTCCAGGCCTCATTTGGAACCATATACAACGGACCTGAGTGTGTCATTTTGGTTATCTTAAACATAAATTGCATTTTTCCCCCTTATTTTATTGCCAAATTTTTCAAAGGAGCCCAGTGCCACTTAGATTGACAAATAATGTCAGCCCTCCGTGATGGTTTACTTTGTAACCTGGAAGATGACTCGCCTGGTCTATTTTTCTCATGTGTAAAATGAGATGATTGTTGCCACTTTGCCCGAGCATCTCAGAATTATTTTAAGATGGTGCTTATGGGGAGACAGTATGCAAGATTAAAATACCATCGTTTCTTCTCCTCACGACATTTCTGTAAGTGGATGACACGTTATTTGTTCTTGGAGGTGAGACGTGCACATACGGAAATGGGGTCATTAGATTGTGGCAAACACAGAAAATGGAGCCCAGTGACCCCAGGATTGTTCCCTACCACCCACACCTCTGCACCTACACAGTCCTCTCCAGGAATGGAGGTCCCTGGAGAGATGTGTTTCCAGGCTCGGTTCTCCTACAATGACTCGTCCATTGGGCCAGTGCCACTGTTCACTTCCAGCTGCAGGCTGAGGCCAAGTGCATGGGGATTAATAGTGTGGATTGTCTTTGTAAATCCTTCCCATGACGGCCAATGGTCTGTGACAGTCAGACAACCCAAGTCATCCCGCCTTGCCCTCCAAATTTGGGGGCACCCCCAGGATGTCACTGTCAGGGTCATGTGGTAGAGACTATCTGTGGATCAGGGGTCTCTTCAGTCTCAGAGCAGATTTCCTACCTAATTCCAAATTTGTAGGAGGCTGGTTCCAAAGGAACCATCCATCGGAGGTCACCATTGGCTTTCAGAAAATAAAAGGTCAGTTCTCTCTCTGGCCCTCTTCCTTGGGGTCAGTCCTCCATCCTCAACAGGAAACCAGAAGACGACTGTCTTTGCTGGCCCTCCAAGGTCGCTATGTGTGTCTTCCGTTTTTTCGGGATATACCTTGAGCAGTCCCAGATATCCTGTTGACTTGTAGAATCCTAGATTGGGAGAAACCTAGGAGATTAGTTCCTTTTATGGATGAGGAACCTGAGACCGAGAGAGGTCAATATTTATGGAATTAAAATTAGACTGGATTTCAGAATCTCCCTTTGAATTATTTGAATAATACTTCTTATATCTTTTTGACAAGTTAGACAATTTTGACTTCTCTTCAGTAGTTCTTCATTTTAATAATTTTACAAAAAGCCATTTTTGAATGTTTAAAAAGATCCTAGCGCTTTAGTCAGTAGAATCAGCCATTTCTGAAGCTAGGGTGCACCACTGCCACCAGACCTTGCTGGCCCATTACTGTCATATTGAAGCTGTCTTTGATCTGTTTCCCCAAACCAGACGATGACAGTCACCTTCGAGTCTTCACGTTTCTGGGACTTAAGTGAACAAGTGGCTTAGATGTGAGCTAATGGCCAAGAAGTGATGTGCTGGAAAGCTGGCCGCGGACCCTGACCTCAGACCAGGGCCCAGCGAGCCCGCCTCCCTCTCCTTTTGGGGAAATGAGGTTCATTGATTGCTGAGCTGCAGAAGTTTCCGACGCCAAGTCTTGCCCAAGAGAAGGAGCGGGAGTTTCCTTTCCCACTCTTTTCAAAGGGACAAGTTATTGCCACTATTCGCCTTCTGAGGGCTCCTGTTGTATGTGCCCCCGGGGCCCCCTCAGCAGTTCCTGCAACGCTGAGGCAAGGAGCCATCTACTTGCTCACATCGCTTTCCCCACAGGCAACCAGGGTCGTGCTGGATTCCCTGGGCGGTAAATACAAGCATGGCGGTTGATTGACGTGTCAGTTTTCGGCACAGACCCCTTTTCTCCTTGCAGACTTCCACGCGACCTTTCCAGTCCCCCTTGTCGCGCAGCACAGCCCTGCCAGGAGGAAAATCAAACCAAGGCCATTTGAGAGCACTTCAAATCACAGAGTTGGGCTTGATCAATAGACGACTTGCACGGAAAGATATTACCCTCCTGCCTCTCTCAGAGGGCGGAAATAATCGCCTGCGCCCCTGAGTACTTGAGCCCCTGTAGTGTTACAATTTGTCGGCTTTCCTCCATAAACTACTTCTCCTCCACCCTCAAGGGAGCCTTTTATGACAACATCATCGGAGTTTGTGGAGAGGCCCAGAGCAGAGAGTACTTAAGCATGTCAGAGTGGACCCCAGAAGTGGCCCACGGAGAGCCGTAGAGCGAGCGCTTCCGCGATGGAGTGCGAGGCGCGGACCCAATTACGCGCAGAGCCCCAGGCGCCCCGCCCCGCCGCGCGCCTCCTGGGTGCCTGCGAAATCAATGGCTGTTCCAAAGTGCCAGCGATTAAGGAAACTGTGCAGGGCCGGGCACAGGCATTTGTCACGGCGATTCTGGGGGATACGTCTGATCAGGGGCTTTCAAGTAATCGTCAAAAGCATCTTCTCCGAGCAGCAGTCACCAGGAACAACGCAACCCCATTTATCTCAGAGCCAGATTTGAAGAGTGGAGTTTTACATAGATCAACCGTTTTCAATAAAAGAAAGATTTTAATATGTTTTCTCAAGATAATGAGGGAATAAACGCAGCAATCCTACCCTCATTTGAGAATAGCGCTGTAGGCACGTGTCTTGGCTGTCGGCTTCCTCACACGTGTTTTTCTGATCATCCTTTCTGCGCACCACCCCGCGCTTCTGTTAAGGACGGCTGCATATTTACAGCGGGCTGCTGCGCGGAAGCCTGGGGCGCGGGGCGTGGAAGCACCACGCACCCCCATTCTTTCCCTGCACGGCTTGTTCAGACTCGGATGAAATCCAGACCGACTGGCTCTGGTCCACGGTCAGGCAGTAAAAAGCCATCTGCTCCCTTCTAGCCACCACGCAGGTCTCAATCCAGTGATTAAGCGGTGGAGTCCAGGGCCATAACCACAACACGTGACTTCTTCTGAAGTGGAAGCTTTCCTGCCCCCTTCCGTGGGCCTGCTTTGCGCTGGGTTTCTTCAGCTTTTTGTTTGTTTGAGGAAGATTAGCCCTGAGCTAACATCTGCCACCAATCCTCATTTTGCTGAGGAACACTGCCCTGAACTAACATCCGTGCCTATCTTCCTCTACTTTATATGTGGGACGCCTGCCACAGCATGGCTTGCCAAGTGGTGCCATGTTCACACTGGGGATCCGAACTGGCGAACCCCTGGCAGCTGAGGCAGAACGTGTGAACTTAACTGCTGAGCCACCTGGCCAGCACCCTCTTCAGCTTATTTTTATTCTCTGGTCTCCCACGCTCAGCGAGGGACAAGGGTCCAGGTCCTGCCTGACCCCCTGGGCAGCTCCTTCAACGTCGGCCTCCTAGAGCCCCGCCTCTTTCTTTCTCACAAAACCTGCTCTGATGGCTTCTTCAGACATTCACCCTCTCTGGGGCTCTCTCCTCAAGGTCCCCCGACGCAGGCCCATGCGTTTCTCTGGCCCCTCTAGCCATCCTGCTGCCCACACCCAGCCTTCAGTGCAGACCTCCTCTGACCCCCTCTGGCACCTGCTCCCCATCCCGTTTCCTTGGCTGCAGGTGGGAGACGAGCTGGGGCTTCAGAACTGCCTCTCAGATGCCTCTGGTCGTCCCCCCCCCCACACACACACACATTGGTGTGTGCCCAGACAGACGTGGCCTGGGCTGAAGCCCAAAAGGAGCTCCGTAGGAGGGGTGGGGTGGGGCAGAGTATCCAGGAAATCTATCATTGACCTAATGGAATCACCTCTCCCTTGCTTTACAGCTTGTTTGACCAGAAAAGGACAGTCCTGCCACTGAGGGCTCCGGGTATTTAGATCATCAGGTGTCCACCTCAAAAACCATCTCCTGAGTAAAGGAGAGGAGTGGGCAGCCACGGGAGGGAGTGTGGGCACAAGTGGCTTTGACATTGACATTGGTGAACCCATCGTTATTGACTGAGGATGAGGGTCCCTACATAGTACATAAAACAGCGAGGGAACTGGTCATGTGATTCCAAAAAGAAAAACCCACTCTCCCCAGATGCCTGGGAAACGGAGTCACACTTGTCTGTTTGCCTCCAGTTTTCAAACAGTGCTTCAGTTTCTACCACATTTTGCCTTCAAGTCATACCGCAAGTGACCATTTTCCTAGATCGTTCCCCATCTGTCAGTTCTTCTCTCTGATGTAGTTGCCGTGAACTGCTAACCCATTCTGCAGACACAGAAACAGAGGGGAGGACAGGACAGCCCTGTGTGGATCCAGGGCAGAGATCTTGGTGTCCAGGCTCCAGGCTGCCTTTTGCATCATGATGAGAAGTAGGCTTTGGGGAGTAATTCTTAAGCGTTCTGGAAATGTCAACAATCTGGGTGCTCTGCTTATCACCGTGAGTGATAACAGAACTTTTCCACTGCCCTCCAGGTTAGGAGGTTATACCGTTAACGCAAAGCTGATCATTCCTTCTCCAAGGTTGATTTTGAAATGGACTCACATTTGGTTGCCAGGCCCCAAGGCGTGTCTCTTGGTGGTGGTCTCAGCTCTCCAGGAGTCTGGTGGTCAGCACTGGCCTCCTCTGTGTGAAGGAACAGTGCGGGCATAGTGGGGCTCTAGACACATATGGGGTGAGACGCTAAAAACAGGAGGAGGCCAGGGAGGCCAGGAGTCCATGCTTGGTCTGTGTGCTGCCAGCCTGAGCTAAGGGCATCTAACATCCAGGACTAGCCAGCTGCCCAGTGGGGAGAGCCCACAGGCCAGGGCGCTCTTGAGAGTGACAGCAAGTAGACGATGAGCCTTGCTGTGGTCCTAACACTCTCTGTGCATCCATCCCTCAGCTCGACTGATGAAGGGAAGGGCTCCCTGTGCTCCTGCCTTGTCCACACGCAGCACCTGTGTGTGGATGGGACGTTAGATCCAAGTCCAGAACTGCTCCCTGGGGCTGCTCCTCCTCTGAAGTACAGCTGTTAACTGACTGTTGCCAGAGGGAGACCCTTCCTCCCCGAGGGCTCGGCAGCTGGTTGCCCTGCAGGCTGGCCCTCACTCTATAGCCACAAGGGTTCCAGGTGCAGATGCCCACTGTGAGCATGATGGCTGGGCCCACAGGGGCTCTGAGCCCATGGGGTCTTCCTGCAAACCTCCTCCCCAGGATGGGGCCAGAGGAAGCCCGAGTTTGCAGTGGGTTGAGGAAGACGGGATGGAAGTGAAATGGGCCCTTTTGGCCTCCCAACTCGGATCCTCCCCTGCCTCTGCTCTCCAGGCACAGAGGTGTGGGCCTGAAGAGGCCGAGAGCTCCTCTCCTGCTGCTGCCGTGTGTGTATGCGCATGCACATATGCATAGACACACCCAGACACATGCACACACGCACATGTAACAAGGTCCTCACCGTCCCCCCTTCCTCCCTTCCACGGGGAAGGTTCTGGCCCAGGATCCTCCCAGCTGTGCTGCCCAGACCAGATGCGAGCTCCGAGTCCAGCAGTCCCTCTGCTTCCAGAGGGCCCTGGCCTTCCAGCCTGCGAGGGGTCCCGCGTGTCTTCAGTTAATTTGTCTGTTAGGTAGGTGTGTAGCTTGATGGTTCGGGTTTGTTGTTTTACTTCTTGGTGTCGAAGCTGTGGTGGCTCTTGCTGTCTTTCATGGCACCTGTTGACCACTTGCAAACATCTGGGGGCTATGTAGACATTTTAGGATAAGATGAGACCTCAACTTTGCTTTCATACCCAGAATCCACGTTTTGGCCATTTCCTTCCTTCCTCCCCAACTGCTTTTGTGTAGTGCTGTGTGGGCTGGCCCGAGGCAAAGCCAGCACCCACTTTAGTGATGAGCGAAGGAAGGTAACCAAGGGTCTGACCAGTGTGAACCCCTCCAGTTCCCCCCATCAGGGTCAGAGCCAATGTGGCCCATCATGGCCACCAGCCATTGAAGCCTGCTGTCCCACATTGGCCCTTGTCCTTGTCAGGGAGGCCTGTGTCCCATCCATCGGTAACTCACGTAGTGGGCCATGAGGTGTGGCCAATAGCATCATGGATGATGATGCACGTAGATATAGAGGGAGTTGCCAGAGGAGTTTGACGTCATTAAGGGACTTTGTCACCAGACCACAGATGAGGTGACGTCACAGCACAACCTTTCCGTGGGCTGCACTGTGTTTGCTAACCAGTTACAATTTTCAAGGCTGCATTTTATCCTTGTTTAGTTTTTCCAAACTGATGTGACAAATGGAATGCTAATGACAATTGTTTTGGTCCCACAGATAAAAGCAGAGAGCGCAGCCTCGCACCCCGCCCGCCTGCCCTGATGCTGCACGCGGACAGGAAGAGCCCGGCTGGGGACGAAGGAGGCAAGGTGAGTCTCGGGACCCACTGCATGTTTTAGAGACACAAAGCCCTGGGTTCAGAGGGCGAAGGGCCAGCACACCCTCTGCACCTGTTTGCCTGTATGGCTCTGAGCACTGGCACTTTGTGGTCCGCTGTGTGAAAGAGGGAAATCCACACATGCCAGGACACTGAGGGAAAGGGTAAATCATCCCAGAGGTTAGGTAAAAGCCACCTGGCCTTCCTCTCTGGATCCGGATCCCAGAGCTTGGTTGGTGCTGTGTTGGGAAGGGTGTAGGCGGTGACCCTGGCATCCTGTGCAGGTACAGCGTCCCCACATTTCAAGAAGAGTGTCGTGGTGGCCAGGCTGCAGGCAGACCCTCACCACGCAGGCAAGGCTGTAGCTCATATTTGGATTTTATTGTTAAAAAAACCCCCAGTGCACGTTTGCTTTTTCCTTAATGCATTCTGATCTCAGTCCTTCTCTTTGCCGGATAGGATGTTAAATATTGACTGAGGATGCGTTTGGTACATTTACGTCCTGGGAACAACCCAGGAATTAGCTTTTACTGCCACATTGGAAAGTGACAAGTGGCACTTAATTTGCTCTGATCTGTCAAATATGCTGGAGGCCTCTGGTCCGACTGGGTGTGCTGTTAACATTCGCTCCTACTTTACTTTCGTCAGCTACGTCCCGGCCTCAGGCTCTGTGTAATGTTTCTACCCCGCCGGCTTCCCCCATGAAGACATTCCCCTCTCAGGCACTGTCACTGGATGGTCCACTCCTTCCCCATCATCAGGGCCGATGTCAAATGGCGAAAATTGACCACGAATGTTAGTGCAAATTAAACTTTCTCTCCCCAGTGTAGGATTTCTCCATAGGAGATTAACATCCATGCCAGAATTACATATTTATTAAACAGATAGTCCTTCTAGTGCCTTAAATACTTTCTTTATCGGTGGGCTCTGTGTGTCTAATTCACTTTTATTACTTTAGCGTGGAAGGGAAGTTTTATGCCATGATTAGCCATTTTTATCACCAACAGGAAATCATTACCTGTGCTCGTGCCTCATGTGGGAGGCCTTGGTGACTAGAGGTGGAGAATGCCAGCATCACCACATCTCAGCGTCAGTCCCCATCGCAGATCCCGTCCCACCGTGTCTACTGGGATAATTAGCTGGGGCAACTCGAGCCTCAGAGCCCCCTCCTTGGGTTTCATTGTTCACTTGGTTTCATAATGAAAATCTCCCCTCGTTTCTCTAATTGGATCAGTAATATACACTCTAGTCTTAGTATGTTTTTTAACACCACAGTTTGTGAATGCTCCCTATTATGTTAATTATTTATCCTGACCTTATTTTCTCATGGGAAACAAAGACATTTTCTACGACCCAAAAACTCTAAAAGACATCGCTCTTAAACTTACAAACTTAAGGATAATTCTATAAATGACAAATCATTTATTCAACATAATTACCTGTCAGAGTGAATGAGGGGCCCCAGGAGACCCCACCAAAAGAGCAGGAGGAGCACGCGTGCATGAGACGAGCCCTCTTCCCAGACGTTATGGTGTGAGGTTGCACAGGTGCCCTCCCCGAGCTGCCCTCCCCCCAAGATGGCACTGGAAATGAGTGTTTTCATCTCAGAACGTCTCGTCCTTCCTCTTGGCCACCTCTCCTTGCACTGGACCTTCATTCCTGATAATGTGACCCTTCTCAGTCCACATCTCCTGGATGGGCAGTGTTCATGCTGTTGTCAAAGGTTTTAGCCGAGCGCCCCATTGTCTGGGGTTGATTTCACCTTGGCTCTTATAGGCGCTTGGGGTTCTTTCAACTTTTTGTTTGATTTTCATGTTTCATGGCTTCCATACTTCAGCACTTTCATTTCCAACTACTCGGTCTGAAAGGGGACTGAAATGATAGAAATGTGTGCTGACCCCAGTGCAGCCCTCGGGGGCCTGGAACAAGCATGCTTGGCTTTTGGTGCAAACGCTGTCCCCTTGTGAGGCCAGCCCCGCACCGGGTGCCCACACTGGGCCCTGGAGCACTGACTGCCTTTAGCTTTGATCATTCAAGCAAGGGGTTAATCGTCTCCTCACCTATGCTATCTTATAGAGCACTGCCATTGACGGTGGGAGAAACAAGAGATTCTAAAATTTTGTGGCAACATTCAATTTTTCTTTAGATGAATCTAGAGCTTTCGTTGCACTCGACGTTCTCAGCTCAGAACCTGGCTGTTGCACTGGTATCTTTTAATCTCACCTCATTTTCTGAGAGAAAGAGAACACAATCTTTATCATGTTATTCTAAGTTTGAGATTAAAACCATGGGAGCAGCTGGGAGAAGAAGAACACCCCCCCCCCAACTAGAATCTACGGTGCTCACCGTGAGCTGCCTTCCTCCTTTAGCTGCTATAAAATTGAAATGACTCTTACTTTTAAAAAATTCCTCTTTGTGATTTTGCAGTACCACCTGTAGGAATCTGGCATTGTTTTCACTTTGTTTAACAAAGATCCAGTGTCCATCACACATCGATGCACCCTGGGTTACTCAAAATTGTGGGTTTCCATCTAGTTGGTGGTGTAATCCTCTGTATTTTCCTATCTTGAGCAACTTCAGTTTCTCTCCCAAATCTGTCCGTAACAATGATCCTGTGTTCCAGCCACAGTTTTCTTTTTTCTTTTTTCTTTTTCTTTTTCTTTTTCTTTTTAAATGTAGGGAATAAATCATCATTTTCTTCTAGGTGACGTAATGTTCAAAGACTCTTTATTTTCTAAATGGAGACACAGAGACAGTGATGTTCAACCCCACTGTGCCTGGAATCGCCTGCACGATGTGAACACCCCTGAACTCTGCCCGGGTAGATGCTCCAGAAAGGGGCTCGTCACCAGAGCAACGGGATGCCACAGGGACAAGGGCTTGTCACTCCTCCTGCCTTCAAGGGGCCCGGCTGGGCCAGCCCTGGCTGCACCAAAACCCCTCAGAGCTTCCAGGTTCTCGGCCACTGAATGCAACATTTTGGTGGCATGGTGCCCACCGCTGGTCAGCATGTTTCTGAAGATGAATCCAGTGGGATTTTCTGCCCCTAAGTCATCAAGGCATCCAGAAGCAATCTCCCACCTGCCACTGCCTGTCTCCATGTCTGCTGAAGCAGGCGGCTCAGCCAATTTGGGATGATTAGGGGGATGCCTTTGTCTGAGTTACTCAACATAGACCATTGTGCCATTCATTCTGTTCTCAGCATAATTGCCCAGGCCCATTTGCTTTGCTGTACTGAGCGGGTCATTATTTACTGGCTACTGTAGGCAGGTCTGTCTGCAGGAGGCCTGTTATTCTTTACTTGCTTGCCTGTAATTGAAGGTGAGTGTTTAAACTAAAAGAAAAAAATGCTCTCCTCTTTCTGTTGAAAGGAGCCTCCATCGATCCTAGTGACTGGAGAGAACAGCGCAGCAAAAGGCAGCAGACCCGTGGCCTCTACTCCGGTGCCCGGATCCCCCTGGTAAGATGCCTGGAAACCGAGAGCAATGAGCCTTGTCTTGTCCCAGCATTTGCTTGTGGTCACCAAAGAGAAAATGCATGCTCCTTAGATAGCATTGTGCTTTAAAAAATTAATTTGCAACTCATGGCAGGTATAGTTCTACTCTGTTGTCACATTCTGCAGAAAGAAAGAGTATTGAAGTGATAAGTTGTCCTGCTCCAATATATTTGTGAATATGTATTAAAATAATAATGCTGTTGCATGTGTATATATCAGCGAGAGACAATGTCTGAAGAAAACGCAGCATGCCTTCAGCTTCAAAGGATTTTTTCCCTCTACTCCCAGAAAAGCAGGACTGTATGGCTGTTAATTAAAGATGTGTCTGGCTTTCTCCATTTGCCCGCTGAGGATTCCTGGTCTTTGACGATGGCACGCTCAGAAGACCCTCCACGAGGGAGCCACCGTCTTTGGTTTTTAAAAATGTCCTTTTATAATGGAGTAATTTGGGAGCAGAATAAAAAAGGTTACTATAGTAAAAATTAGTTTTCAAACCTGAAGATTAGAGTTCAGGATACAGTTGGGAGGAACACCAATTTAGAGAACATTAATAGCAACCACTTGTGTCCGCTTAAAGTGCTGTCCCGGTAGGAACGCAGCCTGCCATGGTCCCCGGGTCTGACGTCAGCCTCGCATAGTGTCCCTGGTGACTAGAGATGTCAAAGGGCACGTTGGGCATCTGTCATGCCCTGTGACCCTGCCCTGATCACCTGCCTATGTTGGTAAACCATACTCCAACTGGAAACACTGGCATCTGTGCCTTCTTTGTATGGTCAGTGGTCGGTGTTGGCCAGCACGTGGTGGCCTCCCACCCTCTGCCTTTAGCTGAAACTGCTCTGCACCCTGGGGACGCCTCTTGGGTCAGGGCCTCCTTATCTTCACACTGTGTTGTTTCCTAACAAGAACCAATTCTCCAATTCTCCCAACACGTGCGGAGTATCCTACAGTTCATTCAGTCTGACGCCGACTCCTGGAGTTAGCCCAGACCCCACAGGCTGAGCGCTCAGTCCCATAAGACTGCCCCACTTCAGACTCATCACAAATGGGGCCTGGGGTCACCTGCATTTCTGCCTGGCTGATTGCAAATTTGGAACCTCCCGCAACCTCCCCTCAGGTTTGATAATTTGCTTGAATGACTCACAGAACTTAGAAAAGTGGTTTACTTATGATGATGGTTTTATTATAAAGGATACAGCTGAGGAACAGCCAGATGGAGAGATGCACAGGGGAGGTACGGGGCAGGGCAGAGCATCCCTGCCCTCATCAGGTGCACCGCCCTCCCAGGACGTCCACGTGTTCCCCAGCCTCGAAGCTCTCAGGGGGCTTCGGGGCTGTTTCGTCACACAGGCAAGATTGATGACATTATTGGTCAAGTGACCCAACTCCATCTGCAGCTCGCCTCCCCTCCCTGGAGGTTGGGGGCTGGGGCTGAAATGCCTATCCCACCAATTCTGTGGTTCGTCTTTCTTATGACCAGCCATCTTCCAAGAGTCACTGCCTTAGATGAACTCGGGTGTGGTCCAAGGGGCTTGTTATAAATAACAAGCTCCTATTACTCAGCAAATTCGAGGGCTTTGGAGTTTGGTGCCTGGAATCCAGGACAAAGACACTGTTTATTTTTTTTTATGCCACAAATGCTATTTGGGGTCTTCAACAATAAAGTTTTAACACTCTCTCAAATGTGTCTCTGAGGCAGGCTCACTTTACAACGAATCCCATTGAGGGGAATTGGGATAAACTCAGACAAGCATGTGGCCCTGTCCCATGGCCTCGGTGGTGCTCTCCTCAGGGGATTGTACAGTTGGGCCCTCGGATCTGAGTTTCACTTTCCGTGGTTTCGGTACCCACAGTCAACCAAGGTCTGAAAATATTTGATGGAAAATTCCAGAAATAAACAACTTATCAGTTTTAAATTGCACACTGTTCCGAGTAGCGTGATGAAATCTCACGCCCTCCTGCCTGAGACGCCATGTCACAATGCCTTTGTCATTCACCCCACTTCGTGTCATCATGTGGGCATTGTGCCATCTTACATCACCACAAGAAGAAGGGTGAGCACAGTACCATGAGGTATTTTGAGAGAGAGAGACCACATTCATGTAACGTAACTTTTACTACAGTGTATCGTTATCATCTGTGTTATCAGGTTGACTGTCACGGCATCGCAGTGGTTATGTTCAGGTAACGCTTGTTTTACTTAATAACAGCCCCAAAGCGCAAGAGTAGTGATGCTGGCAAGTTTCTACAGTCTATAGTGATAATGGTTCTATTTTATTGTTAGTTGTTGTTAGTCTCTTCCTGTGCCTAATTTATAAGTTAAACCGTATCATAGGTATGAATGTATAGGGAAAACATAGCGTATATAGGATTCGGTTCTATCCGTGGCTTCAGGCATCCCCTGGGGATCTTGGGACATATCCTCCGTGGATAAGGGGGTACTACCATACTTATGGAAGACATGACCTTGAGCACTAGAACCTTCTAATTGGTAAGCCATGTTTTTTCTTCCTCGATATTGCCATGTTACAGTGCAATATGCTGAATGGGATCCGGGAGCTCACACTGTCCCTCGGCCGTCGCCACCATCTTGATGTGGGTTGCCTGTAAATTATACACCAGCACGAGCCCTGCCTGGGCTTCCGTGGGTGGAGCCTGCTCTCTGGCCATCTTCTCCCTGACTCTCCAGCAGAATGGGGCAAGAGGCCCTTCAGGAGAGCCAGCTGGGCGATGGCACGGGTCATCATGCCCCCGAGAACAGCTGATGCTGGCTCGCGCACGGAGGAGCTCCTCTCCATGGGGTGCTCTCTGAATCAGAGTTAGGCCTCCTGGATGGACTGTGCACTGTTTCCCCGAGGTGATGGAGATGCTGCCAAGGCCTGCCCTGTGCTCCTTGTTTTCTGCTTTTCTGACTCAATTCCTCTGGAAGGAGAGTTTCTTGGCTTTGTTGAGCAGCCTTGGTTGAGGATGTGAGTGTTGAAAGACTCCACTGTACCTTACAGGCTGGGTTTGCCTTTCATGAGAAGTGGAGGAGGGACTCTTGGCCTTACAGGATGAAGGGGCAGCCGCCATACTGGCTTCTTCTGTGACTTCATTCCCCGACTGAGAAGTGACTTTGCACGTGACGGGGTCTGACATCCTCATCAATCTCGGCGTCACACATATGGAAACCTCAGTAACAACACACTCTACTGACTCCTGACGCTGCGATCTGCCACCAGGAGAAGGGCTGCTCTGCCCTTGGGAGCTGTGCCTGTTTCACTCAATTAGCTCAAAGCGTGTCCCGCCAGCTCCGTTCTTGGGGGTCTGCTGGTAGTCAGCCGTAGCTCAGAGTCCACCAGGTCTCAGGGAGACGAGGAGCAGAGAGACCCACTGGAGGTGCAGGAAGGCCAGGACCACTGGCTCCATCCTCTGTCATCCTTGCCAGCCACCTACCTGCATGTTAGGACATCCCAATCTGCTCGTGGCATGGTAAGGATGCCCTCACCCAGATGGGGAACGTTCCAGAGGCAGTGGCTACCTTGAACTTTCTGATAAGCAAGTCCTCATGGTGATGTGTTGCACATGGAAGTGCCTGATAAGAATGGTGGGAAGTGAGAGGTGTGCTCCCTGACACCAGCAGGTCTTGTGGGCAATGTCAGCTGCAGTGGTCACCAGAGGAGCACACACAGTCACCAAGGGGCCCTGGTGTTTTCACTGAGTGAGCCTCTACTTCTTATGGCCAAACGCCCAGAACTCCCTGCCCATGTGTCAGGGAGTCTCGTTCTTCTCCTTCCTTGGATGGTGCGTTCTCTCCACAGTGTCACTTGTCAGTCAAACGCTGGGCTCTGTTCCCGCCTAGGGGAGCGGACTTCCCCCTGGAAGGGAAGAGTGAGGGCCCAGGCTTCCAGCTCAGGTCAGATCCGAGAATTAGACCCTTTGCCTATAGAACCAGAGCCTTAACTTCAGACCAACATTCTCCTAAGAAAACTTAGGATTTCTAGAGGCTTCTAGAGGATTCAGTGTAGGCAGGGGGTCCAGGGGTGGGGGGTGGGAAGCAGGCTGGGCTAACATAGGCCCAGAAAGGATTCCTCCTGATCATCACAGAGCTATGTGGGGTCATTCTGGAATCCCAACACTAGAAAGAAAAGAACTTTGAAATCTACTCAAAACATGGAGAATGGAAATCAAAATATTCTGACTGTGTTAATGTTTTCATTGTACATGCCCTGTGACCCTGCCCTGATCACCTGCCTATGTTGGTAAACCATACTCCAACTGGAGACACTGGCATCTGTGCCTTCTTTGTATGGTCAGTGGTCGGTGTTGGCCAGCACGTGGTGGCCTCACACCCTCTGCCTTTAGCTGAAACTGCTCTGCACCAATTTTTAGTAAATTGGAGCGGAGAAATTGAGTGTTTGGGAGGACAGCAGGATAGACTAAGACCCTAAATATGTAGTTGTAGGGAAGAAACTTGCTTTTCAAGGTTAACACTTTTGCTCCGTGGAAAGCATACTGGGAGGCGGGAGAGCTGTATAAATCGCTGTTAGGAGATGAGGAAAGAGAGTGCTTTTCTCCTTGTTCTGGGCGGGAGCTGTTCTGTGCACGAGAGCTAACCGGATACATATGGAATGCCCGAAGCACGCGCGTGGGTCCTTAATTATCCTTAAGTATGTAGGATTCTCATGCTGTTCTATTGCCAGGGGAGATGACCAGATGCATAGCCTGCCTGAAGGTGTTCGTGTCACACGCAGACCTGCAGACACGCACAGGCAGTGCCCTGACGATGGGGGAAATTGGAGGAGGAGCTGCTGCCTGTCCTCGTCTCTTGACCCATGTCAGTTCAACCACTAAAGATGGTTTCAGAGTCCAGAGTAATTCCTTCAGACAACTCTGCTATTCAGAAACTCATTTAGCTTAAAACCTTTGGGAAATTGTAAGGATTCCGTAGTCTGAAGCATAATATTTTAAGAAGAAAAAAGAAGAGG